CCATTTCTGAAGAAGGTTCCAGACCCGAAACGTCAGCTTTCCTGCTCCTCTGATGCCGCTTGACCTGCTGTGTTCATCCAGCTCTACACCTTGTTATCTCAGATTCTCCAGCATCGGCAGTTCCCACTATCTCTAGATCAGGAGAGCTGGGTTTAAATCGCACCTGTCCCAGAGGTGTGTATTAGCATCACTGAACAGGTTGACTGGAAACTACCTGCAAAGTGCAGTTCGCATTTATGTAGTTCATAATTTATGGACGACACGGTAAATTGACTTTCATTTTTGAACGAGAAACCACGGCTCAGTACATTATTACAACTGATAAGAACTAAAGGGTCCGTGTGAGTTAGAAAATGATGAATAAGCACATTTGAGTTTATTTTAACTGACCGGGGGCTTACAGGAATCAGGGAGTTGAAGAATTCCACATATTTGCGATCTTGGGGAATGTTGATTAGTCTTGATTTCAACACAGCCGAGAGGTGATGGGTCTTGACGGCCGAGCTATTTGGAATTTAGAAAGACTAACAGATGGACGAGGAGGAAGCAGTATTTATATACAAATAAAAACAATTTGGTGGAGAAACTCAACAGGTCTGTCAGCAGCAATTCTCCAGCAATTTCTATTTTTATTTGTATCAGATCTCCAGCACCCGCAACACTTTGATTTATATATTTAAAAAAGCTGAGGATCAGAAGTTAGGGCAACACGTAAACTGTTAATCTTGAAAGGAACGTGAATAAACTGTCAGTGAAACTCTGACAGAAGGATTGCAATATTTCCAATATTGCAGAATTGTAAGCACTCGCTTTGAATGTTTCGACAGTGTTTTCCTTATAACACGCCGAGCAATTCTCACCTCTCCATGTAAGTGATCAAATATTATTTGATTAACTAGACCATAACAATTAACATTAGATAAAGAATATTTTCTGAAAAAGTGATATAAGTTCTAAACTTGCTTGCTGATTAATGTTTATTTATTTCATTGGTTTCGCTTGTGACAAAGCCTCACCTTTGGTGTTTTTAGTTAGCCCAGGGAGCAGACCAGTGAGCCCTCAGATTCTCCTTGTCTACAATTACACAGCACATGAAGACGAACACAAACACAACGACAAAGCAGCGAGGGTGGTTAGTGTGGGGCGCCGTTGATTCAAAGAAGCTCGGATTCGTGTTTCCAGGGCAACAGAGAATCAGCGTCTGAAAAGAGAACGCGAGATGGAAAAAAGGGAAAAGGAGAGAGAGAGAAAAGAAAAGGCGTCAGATGGCCTGAGCAGGGAGTGAGCGGATAGGATCAAGCGGTGAGCACGGGCTGAGAGAGGGTGGAAAGACACTGGGAGTTTACAAGCGCAGGCTTAATCTACAGCATTGGTCAATTGAAAAGTAAAAAAATACGTACATCTACCATGGAAGGTAACTTTACTAAGTTTGTAAGTGAATTCGCTGGGTATAAAAAAATTGTAATTCATGGGTCACCTATGTTACGCACCGTTACAATGAGAGCACACGTGAACACTGACAAAACACCATGTCCAAAAATTTATCTACAATGATAACATATATACATCATATTAATTAATTATCAGGGTAAGAAATACTAATTATACTGAATTTGGGTATTAATCTTAAGTAGCTCATAATTATCTATATAAAATGATACATAGAAATAAATAATTTGCTAATAAGTAGCTTTATCTAGCATCCTCAGTATGTCTTGAAAGATTCACAAATAAGAAATTATTTTATGAAGTTTAAACCTTTTTAAAAAACGACAATTGATTTGAATTTTGCCAAGATTTCACAAACAGAAACTTAATAACTAATTTTGGAAGTACTGGTGGTAGTTACTGAAGGATACTTGTTGGCCAGGTGGCAGAGAGAACTTCCTACACTTTGAGCATTGCTATGAAGGGTTCTTGTGGTGCTGTGGTAATGTCCCTACATCTCAGCCAGGTGACCTAGGTCAAGTCCCACCTGCTCTAAAGGTGTGTGATAACATATCTGAACAAGTTAGTCAGAAAATATGTGAATATTGTGGGGTTTTTTTTTAGCTCTCACCTAAACAGAGAAGCAGGGCCTCTTTTCCCTCATCCAAAAACAGGGCATGTCTGACAATACAGCAGACCTTCAGTACTGTATTGAAATGTCAGTTGAGATTATACAGTATACTCAACATTTGGACTGTGGCTTGTATATACATTTTCAAGTTATCAAACACATCTTTTAGGGCATTTCCATTTGTTTCTGATTTTTAAAATGAACTTTGAATAGGGCAAGTGAAAGGCTTAATAATTTATTCAGTAGTCATTCAAAGCTATGTTTAACCAAAATCCAAAATTTTCTAGTATTAGATGAAGGAGGAATTTTGACAAACAACTTAGCAAGCTTTATGTTGCATCAAGTCAACATCTTTGTCCTTGCTGACCCAGTGCCTCACAAATAAAATTTCTATAGGATTTTTGCATTCGCCTGGCAGACTGATGAAGTCCCACTGTTTCACTGAGCATTATACTGTCCTCACTCTAAATTATGCACTCAACACAGAGTATGGTCTAAACCTGTAACCTTCTAACGCAAAGGAGAGAGTAAAACTAACTGAGGCATGCTGTCACTAGTGAATGATTACTGCTTCTCGTGAATTAGATTGAAAACAGGTTTGTGAATGATTTTTAAAAATGGCATGCAGTATCTATATTATGTAGATAATTGTAGTGATATCAACACGATTTATAGTTACTACAGAATAAATTGTATAGCAAATCTGGTGTCTGAGCATGCAGAGTTAAACATAGAAATCTAAAAGTTGCTGTCAGAGGTACTTTGCACCTCCGCACAGTATGTTGTAACACTTACTGATCAACTCAGCGTTGAAATCAGAGCAATGAGTGTTCAATAGTATTCCCCACTAAAGACCTCAGGAAAAGTTAATGTGATGTACTCAGGAGTAAATGAATTGTTAACAACATAATAAGTGATGGTTGCTGCCAATGAACTCTCTGATCTAAAAGAAGTTACAAGTGTGTAATCTCATTCCATTGGAAGTTTCTTAGTGTCAGCAATTTGCAAATTATTTTTACTTCTGTTGTCAGTGGTCTTTAATCTCTGTCTTTCCTTGATGACTTTTAGCTCATCGAAAACTCTGCTGTTTCTTTCCTAATCTGCACCAAGTCAACATCTCTGTCCTTGCTGACCCAATACCTCACAAATAAATTTTTTATCATTTTTTATAATCCCTTAGGTATCATTCACTTCTTCACTGGTGCTAGACTTTGCTAATCCTTTGCGCCCTACACCTCCTAAGCCCCTAACTTCCTATTCATCCTTAGGAAGGATATGAAGGAGGGTGTTGGGGAGGATGTTGAAAGGATTCATAGGAATGGTTCCAGGATTGAGGAAATGCAATTTAATACATAGGTTGGAGAAGTCGGACTGTTCTTGGAAAAAAGAGATTTGAGAGCAAGTTTGATAGAAGTATTCGAATTACCAGTGGTCTAAATAGGGTCCATAGGGAAAACTGTGATTTGATTGAGAATCAGAAAGCACAGATTTAAGATAATTGGCAGAAGGAGCAATGACAACATGAGACAGGACTTTGCACACAGTGAGTGATTATGATCTGGAATGCACTGCCTGAGAATCTGGTGGAGGTAAGTTTAGTCAAGGCATTCAAAGTGGAATTAGATCATTATCTGAAAAGAAAAATGTGCAGTATTATAGGGAGAAGGCTTGGGATTGGCATGGTGATTTGTTCTATCAGAGAGCTAGCACAGATATAATGGGCCAAATGATCTCTTTCAGTGCTGCAGCCAATCTCTGATTCTGTAATCTTACTCTGGCATTTAGTATATCCACACTCTTTACCCCACCGGATGTTCATGTCTTCATGGTTGAAGCCAAAAGCTCTGGAATCCACCTTTTCTCAGCACATACAACTGCTCATTGTTGTTTATGGAGCAGGACTGTGGAAGTTTAGGACTGTAGACTAGCAATGATAATAAAGTGTCTATTAGCCATTAATTCATAAATGCCAGACTTCCCTTTAGGCTACACTTCAAACAGATATGGCAAAGTTAGTGGAAAACCAGCTATAGTCATACTGCATGACCTTCAGTTTCTTCCTGCTCTGAATATAATCCAGAATAACCAAAGATGTTTATTTTCAGTTTGTCATCATCAAATTTTCAGCACTTGATTACTCCATTCATTTTAAGCATATTATTTAAACAGTTCATTGATATACATTGATTATTTGTCAAAATAAAGGTATTTTCCTGATGAATGGAGGATTTCTCATGAATTGCTTACTGTGAGTATGGAAGGGAAATTATTATTGTCTAACATTTTATGGCATGCAATTTTGTGTGCATTATTCTACAGTAAATGGTTTATGGTTATTGTTTTAGCGAAACTCAACACGCTGGACTTTTCCAGTAATTGGAAAAGGATGTAAAATCAGAAAGTACACAGTACATGTTAGAACATAGAACATTACAGCACAGTACAGGCCCTTCGGCCCTCGATGTTGCGCCGACCTGTGAAACCAATCTGTAGCCCATCTAACCTAAACTATTTCATTATCATCCATATGTTCATCCAATGACCATTTAAATGCCCTTAAAGTTGGCAAGTCTACTACTTTTGCAGGCAGGGCATTCCACACCCTTACTACTCTCTGAGTAAAGAACCTACCTCTGACATCAATTTAAAGCTATGTCCCCTCGTGCTAGCCATCACCATCCGAGGAAAAAGGCTCCCACTGTCCACCCTATCTAATCCTCTGATCATCTTGTATGTCTTTATTAAGTCACCTCTTAACCTTCTTCTCTCTAACGAAAACAGCCTCAAAACCCTCAGCCTTTCCTCATAAGACCTTCCCTCCATACCAGGCAACATCCTGGTAAATCTCCTCTGCACCCTTTCCAATGCTTCCACATCCTTCCTATAATGCGGTGACCAGAACTGTACGCAATACTCCAAGTGCGGCCGCACCAGAGTTTTGTACAGCTGCAACATGACCTCATGGCTCCGAAACTCAATCCCTCTACCAATAAAACCTAACACACTGTATGCCTTCTTAACAACGCTATCAACCTGGGTGGCAACTTTCAGTGATCTATGCACATGGACAACGAGATCTCTCTGCTCATCCACACTACCAAGAATCTTACCATTAGCCCAGTACTCTGTATTCCTGTTACTCCTTCCAAAGTGAATCACCTCACACTTTTCCGCATTAAACTCCATTTGCCACCTCTCAGCCCAGCTCTGCAGCTTATCTATGTCCCTCTGTAACCTGCAACATCCTTCCGCACTATCCACAACTCCCCCGACTTTGGTGTCATCTGCAAATTTACTAACCCATCCTTCTACGCCCTCATCCAGATCATTTATAAAAATGATAAACAGCAGTGGCCCCAAAACAGATCCTTGAGGTACACCACTAGTAACTGAACTCCAGGATGAACATTTCCCATCAACAACCACCCTCTGTCGTCTTACAGCTAGCCAATTTCTGATCCAAACCGCTAAATCACCCTCAATCCCATGCCTCCGTATTTTCTGCAATAGCCTACCATGGGGAACCTTATCAAACGCTTTACTGAAATCCATATACACCACATCAACTGCTTTACCCTCATCCACCTGTTTGGTCACCTTCTCAAAGAACTCAATAAGGTTTGTGAGGCACGACCTACCTTTCACAAAACCGTGTTGACTATCCCTAATCAAATTATTCCTTTCAAGATGATTATAAATCCTATCTCTTATAATCCTTTCCAACACTTTATCCATAACCGAAGTAAGGCTCACTGGTCTATAATTACCAGGGTTGTCTCTACTCCCCTTCTTGAACAAGGGGACAACATTTGCTAGTCTCCAGTCTTCTGGCACTATTCCTGAAGACAATGACGACATAAAGATCAAAGCCAAAGGCTCTGCAATCTCCTCTCTAGCTTCCCAGAGAATCCTAGGATAAATCCCATCCGGCCCAGGGGACTTATCTATTTTCACACCTTCCAGAATTGCTAACACCTCCTCCTTATGAACCTCAATCCCGTCTAGTCTAATAGACTGTATCTCAGTATTCTCCTCGACTACATGGTCTTTTTCCTGTGTGAATACTGACGAAAAATATTCATTTAGCACCTCTCCTATCTCTTCGGACTCCACGCACAACTTCCCACTACTGTCCTTGACCGGCCCCAATCTTACTCTAGTCATTCTTTTATTCCTGACATACCTATAGAAAGCTTTAGGGTTTTCCTTGATCCTACCTGCTAAAGACTTCTCATGTCCCCTCCTGGCTCTTCTTAGCTCTCTCTTTAGGTCCTTCCTGGCTAACTTGTAACTCTCAAGCGCCCTCACTGAGCCTTCACGCCTCATCTCTACATAAGCCTCCTTCTTCCTCTTGACAAGAAATTCAACTTCTTTAGTAAACCACGGTTCCCTCGCTCGACCACTTCCTCCCTGCCTGACATGTACATACTTCTCAAGGACACGCAGTAGCTGTTCCTTGAACAAGCTCCACATTTCAATTGTGCCCAGCCCCTGCAGTTTCCTTCTCCATCCTATGCATCCTAAATCTTGCCTCATCGCCTCATAATTGCCTTTCCCCCAGCTATAACTCTTGCCCTGCGGTATATACCGATCCCTTTCCATCGCTAAAGTAAACGTAACCAAATTGTGGTCACTATCACCAAAGTGCTCACCTACCTCCAAATCTAACACCTGGCCTGGTTCATTACCCAGTACCAAATCCAATGTGGCCTCGCCTCTTGTTGGCCTATCTACATACTGTGTCAGGAAACCCTCCTGCACACATTGGACAAAAACTGACCCATCTGAAGTACTCGAACTATAGCGTTTCCAGTCAATATTTGGAAAGTTAAAGTCCCCCATAACAACTACCCTGTTACTTTCGCTCCTATCCAGAATAATCTTTGCAATCTTTTCCTCCACATCTCTGGAACTTTTTGGAGGCCTATAGAAAACTCCCAACAGGGTGACCTCTCCTTTCCTGGTTCTAACCTCAGCCCATACGACCTCAGTAGACGAGTTGTCATCAAACGTCCTTTCTGCCACCGTAATACTGTCCTTGACTAACAATGCCACACCTCCACCTCTTTTACCACCTTCCCTGATCTTACTGAAACATCTAAACCCCAGAACCTGCAACAACCATTCCTGTCCCTGCTCTATCCATGTCTCCGAAATGGCCACAACATCGAAGTCCCAGGTACCAACCCATGCTGCAAGTTCACCCACCTTATTCCGGATGCTCCTGGCATTGAAGTAGACACACTTCAAACCACCTTCCTGCCTGCCGGTACACTCCTGCGACCTTGAAACCTTACTTATGACCTCACTACTCTCAACCTCCTGTACACTGGAGCTACAATTCAGGTTCCCATCCCCCTGTTGAATTAGTTTAAACCCTCCCGAAGAGCATTGGCAAATTTCCCCCCCAGGATATTGGCACCCCTCTGGTTCAGGTGTAGACCATCCCGTTTGTAGAGGTCCCACCTACCTCAGAATGAGCCCCAATTATCCAGGTATCTGAATCCCTCCCTCCTGCACCATCCCTGTAGCCACGTGTTCAACTGCTCTCTCTTCCTATTCCTCGCCTCGCTAGCACGTGGCACGGGTAACAAACCAGAGATAACAACTCTGTTTGTTCTAGCTCTAAGCTTCCACCCTAGCTCCTTGAATTTCTGCCTTACGTCCCCATCTCTTTTCCTACCTATGTCGTTGGTGCCTATGTGGACCACGACTTGGGGCTGCTCCCCCTCCCCCTTAAGGATCCCGAAAACACGATCCGAGACATCACGGACCCTGGCACCTGGGAGGCAACACACCAACCGCGAGTCTCTCTCGTTCCCACAGAATCTCCTATCTGTCCCCCTAACTATGGAGTCCCCAATGACTAACGCTCTCCTCCTCTCCCCCCCTTCCCTTCTGAGCAACAGGGACAGACTCTGTGCCAGAGACCTGTACCCCATGGCTTACCCCTGGTAAATGCTCAATGAAAAAAGCTTCTATTGGTTTCCCATTTATTATCTTGATAGTTGCATGATACAGCAGCAGAGTAGTTGTTGAATAATCAGTGTTACCAATCTCTATCAATATGTCTATAACAAATTTGAACATGAGGTTTGAAAGATGCCCAGTCATGGAAAAAGTTGGGAGCCATTCTTCCAAACCATGCTACACTTAACATATGGCATGTTTTAAAGTACTCGTACGTAGTTTTCCTTTTGATGTGCTAACTAACTTGCTTGTAAAAGAATCCATATTATTGGCCTCCACCACATCCCTAGGTAATCTCTATTCTAGTTTGATCATTCCCTCAGAAATTAGCACAATGCCCCACAACAAGCTTAATCAGTGTCAGCTTGATTCAAGAAGAACACAATTTATGTTTCCAAGTTAAAGACTGTGGATACAAAAACCAGGACATGGGGAAGATTGGCACTAAGAGTTGGAGAGCTACATTGTCTGAGCTGTGTTCTTTTGGATGACAAATAAAGGTAGGCTTTCTGCTCAATATTTGTCCAAGATATCATTGAATGATTTGAACTCTAGGTGTTCTGATCAAATTAATCCTTTAAGCACAGCACCAAAATAGATCAGATATTTGTTGTATGTGGGACCTTGCAGTTTTCCGTGCCCAAAAACAGTGACAGTTTCAAACAATAATTCAATAACTACTACACATTTGGGAAATCAGTCAAGGGGCACCAAATTAAAGGCATTTCCATATAAAACTTATTGTAGTGTGATTACATACCAGGACAATATATTTCCTTCCTGTTTAAGCTTAAATAATTTTCCTTCACCTAGGTTTATTTCAGTGAATTGGCAATAGTAAAATTCAAACAGATTCTTACATTCTGCAAAGGTTGGTACACAATGCAGAATGAACATTAGGATATTTAACAAATTAAATGAAGCAGATAAACAAAATTATTCTCTGTCCTTTAAAAGAGAAGAAGTGAGTTTTCCTGATGACCTGGCAACATCAGTCCCTCAAGCACAAAATCAATGTCATTGACTCAAAAGTAATTTGCATTTATATAGCATATTTAATGTGGAAAAAAAATGACCCAAGGTGCTTTAGTGAAATGAGATCATTAACGGTACATTGAAGAAGTATATATTAGGACGGCTGTTTAAAAGTTTGGTCAAAGAGATAAGTTTTAATAAGGATCTTAAAGAGGCAAAACATTTGCAGAAATTCAGGTGTTGAATTCTAGAACATCGGGTTGAGGTGACCATTGGCAAAAGAAAGAGAGTGGGGATCCACTAGGACAGAATTGAAAGAACGCAGTTCTCCTGGAGGGTTGTAAAGCTGAAAGAGGTTACAGAGACAGGGAGGGGTCAATTCATAAACGGCTTTAAACATGTAGGTACATATTTTAAATTGAGGCATTGTTGGACCAGGAAGGAGTCAATGTAAATTTGCACGCAAGTGATGAATGCATTGACTTGATATAACTTATAATTTGGCAGTAGAGATCAGGATGAGATGAAGCTCATGGAGAGTCGAGGGTGTAGGCTGGCCAGGATATCAGTACAGTAATGAAACCTAGATGTGTAAAAGACAGTGTGTTTCGGGAGGAGGTGGACTGAGGTCGGAGTGAGGATACGGGCCTTAAGGTCAGTTTGGGATCAAAAAAGGACATTGAGTTGCAACTATTAGATTAAACCTGGGACAATGGTCAGGAACTGATGGCAGAACTGGATGCTGGACAAGCCAACCGATAATACAGAGGTGGCAGATAGGTAAATAAAGGTACAGTTGGCAGCAAACATGATCTGACTTCAATTCTTATCAAAATGGCACAGTACAGTTGCACATGAATAAGGAAGAGATGGGGGCTAAGGATAAGTCATTCAGCGTTTTCAGAGAGTGCTGGGACAAGAATTTCACTTTCTGCCATATATGGAATATTGATGTGCACAAGAAAGCTGCTTTATTTATCCACAAATGATGCTAGAAAATTAGGCGCCTTTCTTACAATGCCCTAAAATGAATCATGGATGTGGCAGCCTGATGGCGGTTCCTCCTGGCGCCAGGGCACTGTGCTCAGCTACTGCACTGTGGGCACATACATTAACCATGTATCATGCATATTATGTCAAAATCATACAAAGATTCCAAGACAAAAGCTGCAACAAGTTACTAATATCTGAAGAACCTGCATTAGCAATGTACCAAATAGTCAAATATTTCACAAGGAAGCTACTAAAATTCAGAAAGCATGTCTTGTAGTCTATCTTTAAAACATTTAAAAACAATGCATCCTACTGATTTGAAATTTTTGTACTGGATATGAAAGAAGTGCATTAACTGCCAGGAAAGGTCATAGTTTCATCAAAGTTCCATCCAAACATTTCAGGTTTTTTTTACAGAAAATATTATGACATATGAACTTTGTCATGGAAGATGTTGCTTTGACTGAAAATATTATACGTAAAATAATGAATCGAACAAAACAAGTAAATTGACTTAGTTATTCTCAGACACATGAGTTCTTGAGTTCTCATTAGTTCTTTGGTTTTAGCTGCCAGGCTAACTGAGCATTCACCAACTTTCCTATATTGTCATATTAAGGAGGAATATATTGTAAAAGCTTCAAGGAATGAGCTTACCTTTATACAGGATAGAAAAATTGCAACATCGCCCTTTTCCCTTGTTTGATGTATCTCAAACAGCAGCCTAAGTGCAGGTAGGAAATAGTTTTCTTGAGGTATGCAACTATAAACAACCTCAACGGGATATCCAATGGGCTCTTCACTTTCCACTCGTACCAGAGGAACATTGCCATAATAGGAATGTAGCTTCTTGGACATATGAGGGGAGATTATTATTACAACCTTTAGTTCTGGCCTTTGTCTCGCAATGTCTTTCAGAAGGCCTAGTAGTACATCTGTGGAAACAGTTCTTTTGTGAGTTTCATCAATAATGATAACTCCATAGTGCTCCAATAGAGGATCTGACATCATTTCCTGCAGTAGCATATCATCTGTGCTGTACCTAGAATATTAAAATATTGTTATTTGGTGGTTTTGATCTCAGCTTGTTTAAAAGAAATGGGTTAGATATTATTCAGATTCCCATTAATTTATCATAAAAACCGAAAGAATTGCAGATGCTGTAAATCAGAAACAAACATAGAAGTTGCTGGAAAAGCTCAGCATGTCTGGCAGCATCTGTGAAGAGAGATCAGAGTTAACGTTTCGGTTCCAGTGACCCTTCCTCAGAACTTCTCAGTTAATTTATTATTTACTGCAATATAGTTGATAAGGCAACTCTCCTGACTGACATCAGACATACTGGAACATCTTAAAGGCCAAGAACCAAACTGTTAACCCAGAGCTTCTGGCCCAGTGGTAGGGACAATACCACTGCATCACAAGATCCCCTAAGCCATTCCTGCTATTGGAAATAATACAGTATTTTCAAATGTACATTGGATCTGAGGCAGGTTGGGGGGAGAGTAAAGAAATGGTTATAAATTTTTGAAACTTTTGTGCTTTGTTATTCCATTTAGATATCATAAACATATATTTATCAGCTGGGTGTAGGACAGCAGCCACAAGTTAAAATGTGAAAGTATAAACATAGGGATAGTATTAGCATTGTTACATTTAAATAGTCACCCTCCTTCAACTTAAAGTTAAGACCATAATCTATTGTGTGCATATGTGCAGCAGGACTACATGAGACATTGTGGAAGCAAAAGTTATCTACTTTGATGTATCAAATATAGTTATTTATAGCCATAAGTAATTGCAATTATTTTTAATCGGTTCAAGTATTTAGGAAAGTTAATTCACTCTTCTTGTTAAATTGCCTTTATTTCATTGTCCAAATTTTTTAAATTCATTTTTCCTTTTATCTTTTTCCCCCTCCAACGAATCTTGTTCACTCTAATCCTTTCTTTTTGTCCCAGTACTATGATTGCATTCTATTGTTGATCCTCGTGAAGCATAATGCAAATAATAAGGAGTAGCATATGGTGTCATTTGCTTGAAGAAGGGCTTGCAGCTGCAGTCTGTTTCCTATTTGCATTTGACTGATCATTCTGCAAGGGTCACCAAAAGTAGATACAGGCACACAGACCTCAGAATGGTTTCATTGATGCAGCAGTTTTCAAATGGAATTGTGTAGCCCACTTCATGCCCTATGTTGACATCCATTTCATCTGCCACGCGGAGTGCAAGGCTGACAGCCGTCTGCTTATGTGTCTGTGTGCACACCACAACACCATGCTGATACTTGGAAGAAAGACAGTGTTCTGCACACCATTGTGGGATCTAAAAGAGATAACAAACGAAACAATCAGGGCACCACTACCTTCTAGCATGATGCTTCATTACATTACAATTGAGCATAGAGCTGAACACTTATAAAAACAATGTTACATAGCTTCAGAGTAAGCAAGGCATTAATCAATAAACTCTTGACCAACACTTGCATGCTGGCAATTTTTATTATTTGTTCACAGGATGTGGGCGTTGCTGGCTAGGCCAGCATTTATTGCCCATTCATAATTACCCAGAGGGCAGTTAAGAATCAACCACGTTGTTGTGGGTGTGGAGTCACATGATGGCCAGGCCAGGTAAGGATGTCAGTTTCCTTCCCTAAAGGACATTAGTGAACCAGATGGTTCCAACAATCAGCAATGGATTCACGATCATCATTAGATTTTTAATTCCAGATTTTTTATATTGAATTTGAATTCCTCCATCTGCCATGGTGGGATTTAAACCCAGGTCCCCAGAGCATTACCTGGGTCTCTGGATTAACAGTCCAGTGACAATACCACGAGGCCATTGCCTTCCCTGTACTTGTCACTATGTATTTAGAAACTTATATTATGTGCACGTATCTGGATATTGCACATGGAAAATGTTTGATGGCTATAAGTCAAGGCAGTAATTCAAACAGCTTGGGTAATTCTTCCAATAGGTCATAAGAGCATAAGAAATTAGAGCAGGAGTAGGCCATTTATCCTTTCAAACCTGCCCTGCTATTCACGGTTGATCAACTTCAAGCCTCAATTCCTCCTTTCTATCAGATCCACAATGCCCTCTACTCCTCAATATTTCAAAAATCTTCTTTAAATGCTTTCAGTGATCTACTCTCCACAACTTTCTAGGGCAGAGAGTAACTGACATTCACTACCCTCTGGGAGAAGAAATTCTTTCACATCTCAGTTTAAAATGAGCATTCCCTTATTCTGTAACTATGTCCCCTAGTTCACGATTCCCCCACTAGTGGAAATCTTCTCAACATCCACCTATCAAGCCCTCTCAGAATCTAATGTTTAAATAAGATCAGCCTTCAGTCTTCTAAACTCTAATGAATAAAGTCCAAGCCTGTTTGCCCATTCTAAATAGGTCAAGCCCTTCATCTCAGAATCTCTCAAATTGCCTCCAATGCTTGTATACCATTCTTTTAAAATTCAGGGGCCAAAATGGTGTACAGTACTCCAGGTGTGGCCTCACCAACACCCAGTAACTGTAACAAGACATTCCTATTTTTAAGATGAACCCCTCCAGGAATAAAGGCCAAAATTCAATTTACCTTCTTAATTATTGCTGCACGTGCAAGCTAACTTTTTTGTGTTTTATGCACGAGCACTCTCAGATCCTTCTGTGCAGCACATTTTTGGAATCTCTCTCCATTTAAATAATAGTCTGCCTTTTGATTCTTCTTACATGTGTGTATGACCTTACACTCTAACATTAAACTCCATCTGCCAATATCAATATCCCCTTGCAGATTCCCTGTGCCCTAATCATAATATGCCCCCCCCCACCTATATTTGGATACAGCAAGCTCTGCTCCATCCTCCAAGTCAGTAACATACTTAGTAAATAATTGATGCCCTACAAATAATCCATGTGGTACTCCACTAGTTATGTATTTCCAGATTGAAAAAGACACATTAATCCTAGCTTTCTACCTTCAGTGTGTTAACCAATCCTCAAACCATACCACTAAATTAACTCCAATACCATGAGCTCCTATCTTGTACAATAACCTTTTATGTGGAACCTTATCGAAAGCCATCTAGAAATCCCAAAACTTTACATTTATCATTTCTCCTTTATCAACTCTGCTTGTTATATCCACAAAGAACTCTAGCAAATTTGTCAAATATGATTTCCCTTTCACAAAACCATAGCGACTCCATTTGGTTGTGTTCCTTTTCTAAAATTGTGTTTCTTCCTTAATCATGAACTTTAGCATTTTCCTAACAACAGATTTTAGGCTAACTAGCTGTGAGGGACAAGGTGTTTAACAAATTAATGGGTCTAAAGGCAGACAAGTCACCATGATCGGATGACTGCATCCAAGAGTTTTAAAGGAAATGAATGCAGAGATATTTTAGACATCGGTCAAAATATTCCAGAACTCACTGGATTCTGAGAGGGTTCCAGCGGATTGGAAAATTGTTAAGGTGATGCACATCTTCAAGAAGGAAGGGGGACAGAAATTGGATGTGCATCACCTTAACAATTTTCCATCCAGACTTGTCTGCCTTTAGTCCCATTATTTTGTTAAACATCTTGTCCCTCACGGCTAGTTAGCCTAAAATCTGCTGTTAGAAAAATGCTAAAGTTCATTATTAAGGAAGAAACACAATTTTGAAAACACGTTTAGAAAAGTAACACAATCAAATGGAGTCATGTGAAAGGTTTTGTGAAAGGGAAATCATATTTGACAAATTTGCTAGAGTTCTTTGTAGATATAACAAGTAGAGTTGATAAAGGGGAAAACAGTAGATGTAGTGTATTTGGATTTCCAGAAGGCTTTTGTAAGGTTCCATATAAAAGGTTATTGCACAAGATAGTAGCTCATATTTTTGGAGCTAATGTAGTAGTACAGATTGAGGATTGTTTAACAAGCCAAAGATAGAGAGCTAGGATTAATGTCCTCCCATTAGCACCTTGTGTATCTGTTAACTTTGGACTGTTTATAGAATCTTCCACCAGGAAGACCAATGCAAAATATTGGTTTAAATTATCTGCCGTTTCCCTGTTTCCCATTATCCATTGTCCAGTTGCATCCTCTAAGAACCCCACGCTTACTTTAGCTGCTATCTTGCTATTTGTTTTAATATTTCTTGCCAATTCAATTTCATAACTAATTTTCTCACTCTTTATTAAGTTTTTACTCATCCACTAGTGGTTCCTAAAAGGTACCCAATCCTCTGGCCTATCACTAATTTTTGCTGCTTTGTATACCTTATTTTTTGATTAAATAATCTCCTTGATTGCCTTTGTTCACTATGGGTAGTTCATTCTTCTCATTGAGTCTTTCTTTTTGACTGGAATTTTGTTTTGCTGGGTTTTATAAATATCTGCTTAAATATCTTCTACAGCTATCCCACTGACCTTCCCCTTAGACTGTTTTCCCAGCCTGTTTTGGACAACTCTTTCTTCATATTTGCAGTACCCTTTTTAAGTTAAACATAAGCTTCTCTCTCCCAAACTGAATTTCAAATTCTAGTATGCTGTGATTACTACTTCGTAGAGGATCCTTAATTACTAAATCTCTTATTACTTCTACCTCATTACAAGTTACTATATCTTAAAATAGCCTTTTCCCAGGTAGGTTGTGCAATGTGCTGCTCTAAGAAACAATTCCAGATGCAATCTTCCCGGTAACCGCTGCCCTTCTGATTGTTCCAATCAAAATGCATGTTAAAATCACCCATGACAATTCTAGTGCTGTTCTTAGACCTTTCATTTATACTTTTTTCTACAGTGAGCCAACTCTTTGGGGGCTATGAATAGCTCCCACCTGTCACTTCTTTCCCTTGCTATTTCTTATTTCCACCCAAACTGATTTCACGTCATGATCAATTGCATAACTACTCACCACTGTACAGATAGCTTCTTTTAATAATAACACTACCCTACCTTCTTATACCCTTTGCCTATTTTTTCGGGAACATCAAATACCCTTTAATATCGTATTCCCAGCCCTGGTCACTTTACAAGCATGTCTTTGTAAGAGCTATAATTTTTGTTTACTTGCGTGCAATCATCATGTTAAAAATACTGTGTTCCTTCAGATAAAGAGTCTTAAGCTTGAATTTTTTACTATTATTAATTACTCTGGCTCTAATTCTGCTGCACTCTTCTTATTTTTAAGAACTATATTAAACTATATTTAAAGAACATACTAAAGAATCTACTTCTTCCTGTAGTTTGTAGTTTGTATTTTCAGCAGTCTGCATCTCTGCTCTCTTATTTCTTTTTGATTTTTTAAACTTCTCGTCAATTGATCCCTCTCCCCCATTAATTAGTTTAAAACTGCATCTACAACTCTTGTTACAGTGTTCTCCAGGACACTGGTCTTAACGTTGTTCAAATGAAGACTGTCCCAGTGGAACAGTCTTTCCCCAGTACTGTTGCCAGTGCCCCAATAATCAGAACCTATTTCTCCCACACCAATCCTTGCGCCATGCATTTACCTCTCTAATCTCATTTACAGTATTCCAATTTGTATGTGTTTCAGGTAGTAATATGGAGATTATTAGCTTTGAGGCTTTGCTTCTTAATTTAGTCTGATAGATGCTCATAATCCATCATCAGAAGCTCTTTCCTAATTCTATCTATTTCATTGGTACCTAAGCAGATGATGACATCTGGATGTACTCTTCAGCCCAGAAGAGATGTCCTGAACCTTGATATTAGCGAGGCAACACAGCCTTCAGGACTCTATCTTGGCTGCAGAGAACAGTAACTATTCCCCTAAATATGCTATTCCCTATTTCTCTTACATTCCTCTTTCCCCTCCCCATTGGACTGCAGTGCTTTAGTAGTTCACTCGTCTTCCCTGCAGTCTGTGCTCTTGTCCACACCAGGATCGAGAACCTCATACCTATTGGATAAAACTTTGGTTCTGGCTCCTCCAAGGTGAAATTCTACTTTCCAATAACTGCCTCACTTGCAGTCACACCCTCCTGTCTCTGACCACGGACCAAATTTGAGGTAGTTAATCTAAGGGACTTGACTGTCTTCTGAAGATCCGGGTAACTCTCCCTCTACACTTTGTCGCCAGCTCATCAATTCTGAGCTGAAGTTCCTCCAGCAGCCAATATTTGTTGCAGATGTGGTCATAATGGATTGCACCACGAACTAAAGCTGCAATAGATTACTTGCCCAGCCATCTCTGTTCTATTTAATTAATAATTTGTATGTTAAATATTTTAAGAGTTAATTTCTCACCACACTCTTCAGATTTAAACCACTTGGCCAATCAAAAGTCACAGAGCAGGTCACACTTTGGCTCAGAC